CGACAGCCGACCACGCGACAAATTGTACTCGAGCACCCTCCTGTCGATCGCCGACAAGTTTAATAGCTTGTGAAATCATTCTAAAAAATAGTGTACCGATTCTCGGTACAGAGAGACGCGCGCACAGCTGCACACACTTGCCGATCGCGAGGGGGATGTCGTTCGTTGAAACACTCTCTCTCTCTCTCGTGTAAAGTTCAACAAAGATTGGTGGCAACGACGCGTGTACGCTTCAACGACGAGCCAAGCGGTCCAAAGCATTGTGCGAAAGCAAGTGTCGAGCTGTTTGAAGGGGATTTTCTACGGGGTCCTCTCTTGATATTTAAATGACGATCGATCACGTATGCACGGAAGCAAGCAAGCCGAGTAAAGATTGTTTCGTAAAATATACAGAACGGAGAAGGTAATCGTCTTTGCGAAGGGCGCGTGGCTCGCGTTCACCACGGCCGGGAGAATCGGTGAATGGCCGACCGGCATGGCTCGGCACGACGCTGCCACCGTTCGTGTCAATAGAAACCAGAGAGCAGAGCCAAGGGGATGGAAATCGAGAAAGACAAGCAAGATCGTCCGGGAGCCTTGTAACTACTGACTAATTCAGCGGAAAGCCGTTGAAGCAACATTTGGATACGCGCGGACGTGTCGATCAACGTTGGACCGCGCCGCGGTCTGTCCAACTTTCTTCTTCGCGCGACAAAGGATTTGCCAGGCGGAATATTCAAGACACATATTCTTCCTTTAACGGCCGGTTCCGGTTAACAGAGACTCGGAGAGGTCGTTTCACCTCGTTTTTCCTCCGGTATTGTTTCGATCGAGTGTCCATGAAAATTGCAAAGTTTGCTCCATTAGACCCTATCTTTTCTCCCGAGCACCGAACGGGTGAGGGGCGGGGGGCGATCCCTTCTTTTACATTGCTAATACAGAGTAAAATTAAGAACGACCCCGCAAAAGTTCTGCAACGAAATTAAGCCGCCGTGCAAACGGTCAATTCAATTACTCTTCTTTTTCCCTTTTTTTCTTTCCCGTACGGCTAACCTATTTCGACCTCGAACTTCCGTTCCATTCACCCGTGTTAGTTTCCCGCGTAACAAAAGGCGTCTGACGAAGATTCTTGACAAACGATCGAAGTTTAAAGCAGAACCGAGTCGGTGGAACGAAAAAAAAAAAAAAGAAAAAAACAGGGGGACAGAGAGAGAGAAAGAGAGAGAGGGAGAAACTTCCTCGTAGCTCGTAAATTTTTTTCCTTCGGTCCCGATACGCCGGATTAACGGTGGACCGTATCGAGAAGGCGTTAAAAGCTTCATCGGTTGTAACTCGTGATGATCGGGGAACGGGGATCGGGGCGCAACGGTGCGATCTAACGATAACGATCGAAGCCTCCATACGATCGACGAAATATCAGCGGGATTTCCGTAGGAATTAAAAAAAAGCGCGCTCGGTTATAAGCCACGCTCGGCAAAAAGCCAATGGCGTCTCCGTTGAATGTAACAGATTCTAATGGTTATGTTCATGGTTACTGCCAGCGAGAGGAGGGGGAAAGTGGAGGAAGAGAGAGAGAGAGAAAAAGAGAATCGGAAAGGGAACCAGTTGGCGAGCTTCTCTCTAATTACTTCGAGAATATCTGGCTCGTTGAGGACACGGTCGCGGGCCACTTACGCGTTACTTATTGCCACGGATAACTGTCCCCCTTTCTCCCCCCTCCCTTGATTTCGAAATTAACGGCAGCCGTTTAATAAATACTCAGACAGGAACCGGGTAGAATTTTGCAGCCGGACGCTGTCGTCGAGGCGTGAAATTTTGTCGCGCGGAGTTGAATTATCGTTGGTAACTGGACGCGTACCGATGCCCGCCGACCCAGAATATTTAATCCCTTTTTGACTCGTCTATTTAAATTTTCCTCTTCTTCGTGTATAAACAATGGAATTGCGCAACACACTCTCGGGAATAATTGGATTCATCTTTATTTAAACGGAACCGCCATCCGCCCGAGTCTCTCTCTCTCTCTCTCTCTCTCTCGTCGTCGTCCATGCTCCACGTGTGTGCATCACGCCAGGTTTAACGTTCGCCCCAAGACTCCTTGCGTACCAGTTTGGTTTATTCAAACGTTACTGTGTCTCGTGCCGCAGGGGAGTAGAACAGGTGTGTGCATAGTCGGACGCACTGAGACTTGGCGTTGTCAATGCTACGCAGCCCTTTCAGACCGAGCACATACTACATTTCGTGTTTGCGTAGAACGACGATTCGTCGATATCGATATGGATATTGCTTCGTGAAAGGATTGACGAGTTACAAAGGGCGGCTTAAGTTCTCTACAATTTCACTTCGACGTTCCTTCTTCGTACAGTGAGCACGAGCACACATCTCGTTCTACATCTCGTTCGATTTTAATTGAGGAAAAATATCCCTTATCACCTTCGTGATTTGTCACGTTGCATTCCTACGCTGATTCTATTATCTCTGAGCCTATTCGTGGTTTACTTGGCCGAGTGGATATCACGATCGCTAGCGGAGGAACGATTCCAGCTGGCGGTTGGACAAAGGTCGGGAGACGTTGATGAGATCGAAGTTTGGCTCGCGTGACTGCCAGGTGAAGTTAGTTCGGTGAAAAGTTTCTCTTTTGCGGGAGGGGGGGAGGGGAATCTACGCGTAGTGGTCTCGTTGATTCTTAGTCAAACACATACGAAGACGACGGGACGGCGAGAGGGGGGAGGGGGGGGGTGAGGACAAAGCGGTCGTTCCTTTGCACCCTGAGAACAAGTGCTCGCAACTTAAATAATAAATATGTATAGCGGAGTTTGATATAGTGTAATTTCGCGAAGTTTATACCACGGGATGTATCTCGCGGTTGAAACTTTACTTCGAGAGTTGAATTACCACGTGCACTTGCCCCGCCGCGCGGCCCTGACGGTGGACCAGTTACGTGACTGAATGTTTAATATGCTTGGACGCACCACCATTATCGCGCTAGGCTTTGAATATTTTATAGCTGGCGTCATTTGCGCGCCGTTGCCCCGCACACACACACACACACACACACACACACACACACAGAGGCAAACCTCGCGACACAGGATCGTGTGAACACAAACGGAGCCTCGTAACTTTAATCCTTAATTCTGCTTACCGAAAATTGTGCAGACATGTTTCTTCGACGCCTACTGTTTCGAAATTCCTAGTCATCTAGTTTCATCGGCTGACGATGCGAGTCCGTCGATTTCTGTCCGCGAGCTCGGAGATCCACCGATGCGGATTTAATATTTCAAAGTGACCGGAAGAGACGGGAGTCGCGTAAAGCAGATAATTCGCTTTTGATCCGTCTTGACGTTGTTAATTAAACAGGAGCGGGCTGTGATGGCAAGCCCCCGAGGTCCGAGCCCAGGTAAATTCTGCCGAGGAATTTCATCTGGGCGACCGTGTAGCCCTTCTTCCTTGAACGATCGTTCTTGCCCGCTGAGTCCGGTTATCCCCGGCTGTGCTTGGCTGGAAGAAAAAGATTTACGCCGAAAGTTAAGGCAGCTGTTGCTATTGCTGTTGCTGCAGCCGAGGAGCCGAAACGACCGGCGACGTTCGCTCGCGCACGCAACCCGCAGTCATGCCGAGAGAGGACAAAGTAATAAAGTTGATGGGCGCGAGACAGAACTACGAGATCGAGAGAGAGAGAGAGAGAGAGAAAGAGAGAAGATAGAGTAATGAAATGGAAAAGTTTCTGGTCGAGCTTTCTCTTACCGGTAATGACTGCTAAACGAATTAAAGAACCGGCTATCTTCCGGGCCGAGGAATAGGAGCAACTTCTTGCAAAAGAGGACATCGTTAGAGTTCTTTACAGCATCGAACGGGGGCCAGATACGTTTCTTTCCCCCCCAGGGGAAACGTTGCCGGAAGATTATCCTTGGCGTTGGCTCGCTTATCACCCGGAAAATGTTCGTTAATTATATGCCCGGGATTTGCATACACCGCAGGCAGCGGTTGTTGTATCAGCATTGCTCCCACGATCGCTGGGATCGTGAGTCTTAATGCATGACTTACTTATTAATCTTAAACTAATGTGGGTGGTGTTTCGTCTGGCGTAAAATTGCCAAATCGATTTCCGATAAACGGCGGTCGATATGACCGCTCTGCCGTCGCTTTTCGCGACGTGAAACAATTAATTTTTCCTCGGCACGCGTTCGTTGCGGCGTTTTTATCGCGTACAACTACCGACACTTCCTTGCCAAACGCCAAAGTCAAACACCGTTGTGCTCGATCGGAATATTCATCATACTATGTTCCTTAAGTCGTGTTTATACTAGCCGAGTTCTGATCGGCCATTCCACCGAGGGTAAGGAGACTAAACGGTGTACACTGAGATACATCGATCGTTTCTGAAATCTCGGAGAAAAACGTCCGTGTTTCGAATTCGTAAATCATCGTTCGTCAGTAACAGCAGCCGTTTAATCGTTCAACTTGGTCGATCCGAAATCGGATCGACGCGGTCTTTATGGCCGCTTTCTCCTTGTAACGAGAATCGAATTAAATCTATCGGTTGTGAAACTGATTGTAAACAGTTGGGCAAGGGTTGGCCAGTCGACGGCGGATAAATGAATCTTATTTGGTCGACGCGTTGCCGGTAGACACCCTCAGGGTGATAACTACAGGGAGCAACGAATTTGACGAACTTCCTGTATTCGATTAGCACGCGCGCTACTCGCTATGTAACTTGCAAGGTATTCAAGCTGTTCGGCAAGTGGAAAGTTTCTCTGTAACCCGTTACGCGGTTATGTTCTAGTTACGATCCTCAATGTGTTCAAGGTCTGTGATCGCTCGCCGTCGAAGAAGAAAAGAAGCATGTTTCGCGGTATATATCCCTCCTCCCCCCACTCTCCAGTAGGTTATTCTCGGCGGACGAAATAGTTACCGGCGTTTAATAAAAATTTTGCAGGAAATTTCTCGCGTTTAATTTAACACGTTCCGTGCCATGTGTACCACCGGTGGTACACGTTAAACT